CTGCCACTCATGTGGGAGACCCAGAGGAGTTCCTGGCTCCTGGCTTTGGAGAGGCCCAGCCCCGGCCATTGCATCCATTTGGGGAGTGAATCTGCAAATCCTGGGCCACTGCCACCACCTTGGGACAAACCAGGCTCAGCCATTGTAGCCATTTGACAAGTGAACCAGAGAATGAATGATCTCTCTCTCTCTCTCTCTCTCTCTCTCTCTCTCTGTCTCCTCTCTCTTTCTTCCCCCACCCCGTCTCTGTGTGTGTCACTTTTCCCTTCAAATAAATATGTATTTTAATAAAGCTGTAGAATAATATATACACTATGATAATATTCCTTTTTTTGACAGGCAGAGTGGACAGTGAGAGAGAGAGAGCGAGAGAGAAAGGTCTTCCTTTTCCGTTGGTTCACCCCCCAAAGGCCGCTGCGGCTGGCACGCTGCGGCCAGTGTATCACGCTGATCCGAAGCCAGGAGCCAGGTGCTTCTCCTGGTCTCCCATGGGGTGCAGGGCCCAAGGACCTGGGCCATCCTCCACTGCACTCCCAGGCCACAGCAGAGAGCTGGCCTGGAAGAGGAGCAACCGGTACAGAAACCGGCGCCCCGACCGGGACTAGAACCTGGTGTGCCGGCGCTGCAGGCGGAGGATTAGCCTATTGAGCCACAGCGCCGGCCAACACTATGATAATATTCAACATTTTCAGAAATCCTCAGAACACTTGGATATTGTGCCATGTAAGTAATGCCTAGAAAATGCATAAGCTGACAATATTTATTTGTTAAGTCTAAAGCAGTAATTGGGTTAGGGTTTGTAGTTGAAAAGGTCTTTGCTTGTAATGTTCAATCATTTGAAACCAGAACGTATTAAGACATTACATAAGTCAGAATTCCAGAGGCCAAATCAATATCAATTTCTTCGCTCACCCAAATTCTGAACAAAATGAATAGAAGGAGAAAACCAGAGTTGAGTGCTTGGCAGTGATTAAGACGGAACTTGGGGGTCCGGTGCTGTGGCATAATGGGTAAAGCCACTGCCTGCAGTGCTGGCATCCCATATGGGCACTGGTTCAAGTCCCGGCTGCTCCACTTCCAATCTAGCTCTCTATTATGGCCTGGAAAAGCAGGAGGAGATAGCCCAACATGCACCTGCATGGGAGACCTGGAAGAGGCTCCTCCTGGCTTCTGGCTTCGGATCGGCACAGCTCCGGCCGTTGTGGCCATTTGGGGAATGAACCAGCGGATGGAAGACCTCTCTCTCTCTCTCTCTCTCTCTGGCCATTTGGGGAATGAACCATCGGATGGAAGACCTCTCTCTCTCTCTCTCTCTCTCTCTGCCTCTTTTCTCTCTGCGTAACTCTGACTTTCAAGTAAATAAATAAATCTTTAAAAAATAAAATTAAAAAAAATAAATAAAAGATGGCATTTGGGATGACCACATACCATATTGCAGTGTCTTGGCTCAAGTTCCAGCTCCTCTGATGATTTTAGCTTTCTGATAATGCATAATCTGGGAGGTAGCAGTGATGGCTCCAGTACTTGGGTCTTTTGTGCTCATGTGAGAAACCTGGATTGAGTTCCTGGCTTCTTGCTTTGGCCTAGCCCAAACTGTATCTGGGTATCTGGGGAGTGAACCAGTAGATAGAAGACCTCTGCCTCTCTCCCTCTGTGTCTTTCTTCCTTTCAAATAATTAATCAATTTTTGAAAAGTACTAAACCAGATGAGAAATAAACATACCATGTTTGCTACTGACAAATTGGATATAGAATATGACTCAGACCTTTAGGCAAGTAGGCTTCCTAAAAATAAATCCCAGAATTTGACACACTATTCCATCCAATTAGAAACTGGGCCTTGGGGCCTATGCTATGGCATAGAAGTTTGAGGCTCCACCTGCAGCACCAGCATCCCATATGGCTTACGGTTCAAATCCCAGCTGCTCCACTTCTGATCCAGCTCCCTGCTAATGCTCTTGGGAAAGCAGTGGATGATGGCCCAAGTGGTTGGGCCCCTGCACCCACACGGGAGACCCAGAAGAAGCTCCTGACTTCTGGCTTCAGATCAGGACAGCTCTGGCCATTTCGGCCATTTGGGGAGTGAACCAGCAGATGGAAGACCTCTCTCGCTTTCTCTGCCTCTGCCTCTCTATAACTCTGCCTTTCAAATAAATAAATAAATCTTTAAAAAACATCATACAGAATAGAAAGAGATTCAGAATCAGGAAAACAGGAGCAAATGTGGAGTATTAATACTTCCTGATTTCAAAACTTACTACAAAGCTACAGTAATGAATGCCCTGCAGTACTGGCATAAGAACAAACTTACAGATACATAGAACAAAGTTGAGACCAGAAATAAAACCAAAGTGTCAGTGCTGCTGATTTTCTTAATGATGCCAAGTCCACTCAATTGGATTTTCTTATGTAAAAGAATGAAACCAAACCCTTTATTTACACCATGTACAAGAATGAGCTCAAAATGTTCCAACAAACCTAAGCATAAGTAAAAATTATAAAACTCTTAAAACACAGGAGTAAATATTTTTGACCTTGGGTTTGGCAATGTCACCAAAATATCAGCAGCCAAAGGAAAAAATAGATAAATTGGAATTCACTGTAATTGAAAACTTTTGTGTACCAAAAACTTCATCAAAGGTGAACAACCAACCTACAGCACAGGAGAAAATGTCTGAAAATCATATAAAGGGCTTGTATCCAGAGTATATAAAGAACTTGTACAACGCAGCAGCAACAACAAAAATAAACCAATAATCTGAGACAGGGTTTGTGGCAAAGTAGGTCAAGATTCCACTTGGGACACCTGCATTCAGAATGCCAGTGTGAATCCTGGCTACTCCACTTACAATCCAGCTTCCAGCTAATGAATCTTGGGAGGCAGCAGATGATGCTTCAGCTGTCTGGGTCCCTGCCACCTACATGGGAAACCCAGAGAGAGTTCTCTCTCTGGCCTGGCCCAGCCCTGGCTGCCTGTTGCAGGCATTTAGAGAGTGATCCAGTGGATGGAAAATCTGATCTTTATCTCTCTCTGCCTTTCAAGCTGAAAATAAAATTTAAAAATGGGCAAAGCACTTAAATATATACTATTCCAAAGAAGATATGCAAATGACCAAAGAACATGTGAAAAGATGTTCAGCATCATTTATCATTAGGGAAATGCAAATGAAAACCACAACGAGCACCTACAGAATGGCTATTAAATAGTAATGGAAAAGGAGAGTTTGAAACAATGTGGATACATTGAAACCACTATATATTGTTGATGGGAATGTAAAATGGTCCAGCCACAGTGGATAAAAGCTTGATATCAACATATAACATGGTCCAGCAATTCCACTTCCTAGGTATATGTTCAAAATAATTTAAACCAGTGCCTTGGATAGATACTTGTACTCCAGTGTTCATTGCAACATTATTTTTAACAGCCAAAAGATGAAAACAGCCTAAACATACATTAATAGATGATGCTCAGGAACAATTTGAGGGATGATTCTCTCTCCCATAATTCCCACCCAAGGAGAGACCATCAACATCTTGCTTTGACACAAATATACACCCCACACTCACCCTTCTCTTTAATTGACGTTGGAAAATTCCATAGCCATCAACTGCTTAAGTGTGTGCTCCAGAAGGCATTGGAAACACAGACTATTTCCAAAGGGTCTGGTGCAATTGTGTTGTGAAGATCTCCAACACTGAGAACAGTACCCACATCTGGTACTACAGGCTAAGGAAGTTCTGTGGATTAAAAAACAAGTTATCAAGAACTTCAAAAATAATCTAAATTGAAGCTTCACACTGCCAAAGTCTTACCCTGCTTTTTTCCCCTTAATGCCCCGTGTAGTAGATTGTCCTTCATTTTAATTTCTGAATGTATTAAAAATAGGTTCACCCTGACCTTAACATAAATTAAAATATGGATAGCAGTGAAAACTAGTGGTGCATTACACCATGTGGATATTTTTCAGTTTAGGCCTTTCCCCAGTACATTAAAAAGTTAAAAGAGACAAAGGTCAACAGAAAGACCAGCATTTGTGCACTGATCCTAATACCTCTATTTCCCAATTCTGGACAATAAATTAGAGGATACAAACAATAAAGGAGATTTGGGGGTAGAGAAAGCAGAGGTGGCTCTGTATCACAATCTATATTCTGTCATTCTATGCTAACAACCCTGTCCAGAATCTAGCTTTTGTTAAACATAAACAGGAGAAACTGACATTGCATAGATAACATAGCTTCAGCTCTATGAATTGTGCACAGTGAGATTAGGGAAATTAATTTCTTCCTAACTATACACTCCTAAAAGAAATTTTAGTATCCTGTAGCTGTATTATACATAGAGCTGAGCTCCAACCAAAAAAGATCAGCACAAACAAGGAGCTACCACCAAGGACAGGTACAAATCACCAAGTCCAAAACACTGGCCAGAAAACAAAAACAAGGATCAGAGTCGACAGTCACCAAGGCAGGACAGATAAGACTATCACTAGAAAGACCCTCTTCCAAGGCCTAAGACTGCAGGTGGAGGGAAACTCAGATGAAGCACTGAATCTGGTATCCCTGGATGGTGAGAGAGCTGTTGAAGGCACAGTGGGGCCAGATCCCTTCAGAACACATTCTCTGCAGTTGTTCATGGCTTTGCTGAATGGGACTTGTGGACCAGGGGTCCTCTTCAAGGTTAAAAAGCTTCCAGGCATGCTGATGAGACATTCCATATGAAAGTTTTGGAACTCCCACAGGAATGAAAGCAACTGTGCTCCCTTCCTCCTCAATCTGTCCTTACCCACTTCCCCAGAGCTGTCAAGATAAAGCTCCATTTCTCACTTGAAGACCTAACAGAATGAAGCCCTATCATCCAGAATCTACAGCCAGTACCACCTGTCTTATTGTGTAGAAGGTAATTCTGCTCCTTGAACATATTGAAACTAAAACATCTGACACCGTGACCTCATTTAGTTCGTGCCCCACCCCTACAGAAAAACAGACACAGACAGTGGTCTTCACCATGTTTATATTGTTTGTGCTTTTTCCTTCTCACTAGATTTCAACTGAAGAACTAGGACAATGTTTTCACCAGTTTTGGCATGCAACTTTATTAACAATATATAAATGAAATCTCAAAAGGAACATATTTATATCAATATAAGGAACAGATGTATAGCTTATTCATGATGAATAGGTTCATTATCAGGTCATGTTGCAGAAATACTAAAAATATCCCATTTTATTATATACAATAACAATCAACAAATGTACAAGTTCTCAAGGTAAACTGGCCTCCTTCAGTCAACACAAAGAACCTAATTACTGAATTTATAATTATGTGCATTGGTTTCATACTGTAACAACATCATAAAAATGTCAAAGCTTTGAGAGAACATACAGCTATTCAGAGTTTGAGTATTAATCGTATAACTTTATCTCTCACCTCAAGATCACTGTGCTCTGCTAAGTCTTGGAGTTTCTGACCAAACCATTTTGCTTCCTGGAATATGGAAATAAGTTCAGATTTAGTGAACTTTTCCTTGGTAAATAGTTTTACCCTTTTTTTGAACTGGAAATTTATATTCTCAAAAATTTCAATGACATTAAGAATATTGGCCTTCGACTCATTCTTGTTAAAGAGTGCAACCAATGATGATAGTACTTCCCCACTGATCAGCTCTCTTGTATTGGCTTGATTTTTAGACAAGCACATAAATACTTTTAAAACATAAAACTTGATTTTAACACTTCCCTTGTTTAGTAAGCTGAGTAAATCTCGAATGTAATTGGCAATTACATGGTGGTCCTCAAATTTCATACTCAGTTGAGCTAATAATTTTAGTCCAGCCAGTTGTACATTGGAGTTCAAGGGATAAAAAATTATGTCCTTACAAAGTTGATGTATGTATAACTCTCCAATTTTTGTTTCTTCAGAGGACTCAGAACTGTAATCCACTGTATTTAAGGCTCTAGGGTGTTCTTTAACATTGGGATTATTGATCAACTTTTCAATCATAACAGTAATACCTACATCATGAATTATATCCTGGGTAAATGGATAAGCAGGACTGATGCCCATTATCATTGTAGCTATTTCATGAATGAAAGGATCTTCAGTTAACTTAAGGAGGGCAACAAGTTTATCAAACTCTTTTGGTTCTAAACTAAAGGTACGTGATTTGCAGCGACAGGCCTTTGGATTTGGCCCATATTTCTCCCTTTGCCTGATCTGTTTTTTGATCTCAGCTAAAGTCTGGAAGTAAGGTCCATTATAAGGTGGGATCTTGGTGAGAGGCCGAACCCCCAGAGGAGTTTCAATCAGGGTGTCCACCAGGGTCCAGTTCCCTTCTGGAGGTGAGGATCTCTCCCCTCCCTCAACTGGGACTAGGACAATATATCTGCCCCTTGACCATGCTGTTGCTTTTTGTTTTATAGTAAGCGGTGGTTGATGTATGGGCTCAGGAGTCTCTTCAATCTTAGGTGGGGGCTTGTAAACTTGAGGAGGGGTTTCTTCTTCAGGCCAGAACCAGGACCCTACACTAGGCTCTTCTCCGGCCCAGAACCAGGAGCAGGCATTTTCTTCATCCTCATTACCTGACTTGATCCCGATATCGCCTTTTTCCTCAGCTCTGGACTTGATGCTGGCCTCAACACTTGACTCTGGCCTGGACCCAATATTGGCCTTATCATCAGCCTTGGCACAGGATCTGATAAGTTTATCACTGCCATCAACAACCTTGATTTCAGACTTGGTTATAGCACTGACCTTAAACGCAGGCATGGTCTTTGACTTGCTTTGGGGCACTCTACCATGTTCTGCAAGGGGTTTTTCCTTAGTCTTAGTCATGACTCCAGTCTTGATCATATCCTCCATCTTGCTCACTTCTCTCGTCATGGCCACAGCCACAGGCTCAGTGTAGGTCACTGTCTGTGTCCTGACTACTGACCCATTTCCGGTCTTGGCCTGGATTACTGATTCTGTTTTTGGTGCTGCCTCAGCCACTGCCTTCACTTGGGTCTCAGCTTTCACTTTAGTACTGGCAGAGCCACTGACTCTAGCTTTCAGGCCAGCCTCAGTCTCTCCTCTAGCCCTTGTCCTATCCCCAGAGCCAATCATGGTTCAAGTTAAAGATAAGGCCAAGTTATGTACCACCCACCCCTGTCTTAGCCTTGACTGAAGGTCTGTCCCAGGTTGATGTTTTCATTAGAAGTCCAGTAGTCATTCAGCCCCCTCTCCAACTAAGGCTCTACCAATGATACAGACAGCATGCAGAGGAATCTCACTCAAGGTAGGGAAAGATGGCTGTGCTTGGGCGCAGCCCTGTGGAGGGTGGTGGTCTTCAGCCACTCCAAGGCCACCAGATCTGTCACTGAAGTTGGACCTAAGAGTGAAGGAAGGAAATGGGGCTTTGAGTCTCTTCCATTTTTTTCCTCACACTGATCTGTACAGACACAGGAAAGGTAAGGAAATTCAGTGCTACGCAGGAGAGGTACATAAATACATAATCAGCAAACTCTCTCCTTCATTTCACCCACTCTCAATACCTTCAAATGCTACCAGTCTCCATTCTAGGCACTAAACAGGAACACGAACGGTAAGAAAGCTGGATGTGAGTAAGAGAGGCTCAGGAGTCCCTAGACTGGCTCTTGGACCTTGTTGGAGCCAAGCAGATCTCCATTATCCCATTCTTTACATCTACCCAAGAATTCCCCACACTTATACCAACCTGCACTGATCTGGAGTAATTTTCTCCTCCTTTCCTCGTTTCCAGTGGTGACAAGCCCTACAGCAGACCTACAGGCAGACCTAAAGGCAAATAAACAAACAGGAGGATATAGAAATTGATCTCCTGGTAAAGTGGCCTTGGTGCCTGGTTCCTATTCTTGCATTTCCAGATATAATCCATCTCGTTTTTCCCTTCTCTCGTCCCCTCTTCCCTTGCCCTGTTTCAGGCTGCTCTACTTCCCCCCACAACTGCCCATCATCTTCCTCTTCAGGGATTATCCTAGCATTTCCCTGGTTTAGAATTAGCAGGGCAAGCAAGTGGACAGCGGGGAAAGCAGATCTTTAACCACCAAAGTTTATCATGAGTCCAACTAAGTCAGCAGAGGGGAAGGCAGACAGGGGCTATTGGTAAGCTTACAAAATAGAAGAGTTCAAATTCTCTAGTCTCAGGGCTGGTGCTGTGGCACAGTGGGTTAACGCCCTGGCCTGAAGTGCCGGAATCCTATATGGGTGCCAGTTCAAGTCCTGGCTGCTCCTCTTTTGATCCAACACTCTGCTATGGCCTGGGAAAGCAGTGGAGGATGGCCCAAGTCCTTGGGTCCCTGCACCCATGTGGGAGACCTGGAAGAAGCTCCTGGCTCCTGGCTTTGGATCGGCGCAGTTCTGGTCATTGCAGCCATTTGGGGAGTGAACCTTCGGATGGAAGACCTCTCTCTCTCTGCCTCTCCTCTCTCTGTGTAATTCTTTCAAATACATAACTAAATCTTTAAAAAATTCTCTAGTCTCAGTCACACATACCCTTGTACCCTCACAGCAACCTTAACTAATACAGGGCAATTTTCTCTTGTTTGTTATTTTCCAGCTTCAGGATTGGTTACCATTTACAAATCTTCACAACAAATGACAGACCCATAAATCTGGGGACAGATCTAGCTACATAGAGTCACAAACACAGAGACAGATAAATGGAGATGCAGGAGACAATGGAGAATGAGTCCCTGGTAGAGACCAGCACTTGGGGCACCATGTTTTCTGGATGCAGGTATTTGTCAAACATTTTCTACCTCCTTTCTTTCCCACCGCCCAAATCTCCAATCTTCTCTCCTCCATTCCTAAAGTCTGACAATTCTCAGGCAGAAGCAACTCTAACATCCCTGCAAGACAGTAGTGGTGTTAATAGAGATGAAGCTCCCAGACAAATCATGTAAACTGGGAAAACAATTAAAAGCATTTCCAAATTTCTCTAAGTTCCTATGTTTCCTTCCTCTCCCTTAAAGACCTATCGTTTTCTGCCACGTAATACCAATAAGGCAGGACATGTTTGTAAACCTTGCAGAGAAGAGACCTGGAGGTTCCCCTACACCCATATCTGCTCTTGCTGTAACCACCTTCAAACATTCTTACTCCACTGAAAGCAGGCCAATTTGCTTTTCCTTCTCCCTTCCCCTTGGGGTCTTCTGTGCCCTACAGATCTTTACAGAAACGTGGAGTACAGCAAACTTACAAACACATCGACACATATAAATGCACTATACACACGCAAAGACCCAACGAAAAGACAGTGGAAGAAACATAGCTATTAATGGTCAGACCACTAATCAGGACGTGACACACTTTTCAAAATCCAAGGTCTTGGTTACCAAAACATCTACAACCTCTTTTTACACTCTTCCTCAGAGCTAGAAGCCGCTATTACACCCCTTTCCCTTCCCAAACATGGTCTGGAAATCAAGCTAGCAAGAGGCAGATCATTTTATCTTATTCCAGTCTCTCTCCCTCACTGCCCGCCTCCCATCACCTAGTTACATATCCTGCGTTCATTCCAATACCCACGTCCATACTCCCAAGCGATGGCCGCCTTCTCACTAACCTGCTCTGTTTGGATCAGGAGCCGTAGTCTTGTTTCCTTGCCTCAAGGGTGCCGTGCCACACAGGACAGACAGACGTTTCGATGAATACCAGGACCCGAGCAATGGCGGCGACTGTTTGGGTTGGATCTGCACCTGAGACTTAGGAGGAGATACTTGTTTTATCAGCTAAAGGGCCGGGACTGGCAAATTGCTGCCCTGTCACTTTTTGGTATTCCTTGTTCTTTCCCAGGGACTCCTCGGGAACCCGCACGCAATTACTAACAGCTACCTTTTCCTCCGCAGTCCGGTTACTGCCACGTCCCCCTTCCCGAAATCAGCAGCGGGAGGAGCTAAAGGGTGTTTAAGGGGATCCGGCTTGCGGAAGCGGAGTGATACCAAACTTTGCCCAGCGCCAATCGCTCTACGTCAGAGGACTGCGTCCCGCCCCCTCTAAATGCGCAGCAGCGGAATCTGTATACAGCGGCAACAGCGCCGGAAGCAGGGACACGGCAGAATATCAGTGACTCAGTATTAGTTTTTCTCCTTCGGGAGCTGCCCCCAGCAAAGCTTTTTTTTTTTTTTCCCCACTGAGCGGAAATGAATGCGGGTTTCCTCTGGAAATCAGCTCCGGCCTGACAAAGCGGACGAATACCAAAGCGTTCCAGTACTGACAAGTTCACCTTTCCTAACTCTTAAGAACCAGAGAAGTGTACAGTCTGGGGATACGGGAGGGGCCGAGGTAGGATGGTCTGGAAAGGGGCTAGAAAGGATAAAATCTGATGTATTCTCTCTGAGAGAAGCCTTTCCACACCACCTGTTCAAACACTTAGTTTTCTACACGATATGGGCAGAGTTGTGGCTAATCTAAAAAGCTTCTGTGGCCTGATGCGCTGATCAGTATCCAACATCTTGGAATTCTGTTCTGTCCCCTGAATCGTTCGTCCTTATATCCCAGAATATTCTTTGCATTAAAGTGATCAAAGGTAAAGTGGGTTTAAGATATAGAGAAGGCAGAAATGAACGGAGATAAGCCCATTAATACCGAACCATGGCTGTGTACGCGTCTGGTTACCACGATACTCTCCCCCAGCTAAATATGCACAGGAGACAGCCGGAACATGAGGGAAACAAGACTTTTCCCATAGAAAAGGATTACTACGAAAGTGTCTTTGTACCTGTGAACCAACTCCCTCCCCTATTTGTGTGCCCTCTTTAAGCCTGACACTGCATTTTCCCTACCCAAAAACTCAGACCACCCAGAGGCTCTAGGGTGGCTCTCTCATATTCTTTTTTTTTTTAAATTTAGACAGTGAGAGAGAGAGAGAGAGAGAGAGAGAAAGGTCTTCCTTCCCTTGGTTCACCCCCCAAATGGCCTCTGCAGCAGGAACTATGCCCATCCGAAGCCAGGAGCCAGGTGCTTCCTCCTGGTCTCCCATGCGGGTTGCAGGGCCCAAGCACTTGGGCCATCCTCCACTGCCTTCCCAGGCCACAGCAGAGAGCTGGACTGGAAGAGGAGCAACTGGGACAGAATCCGGCGCCCCAACCGGGACTAGAACCCAAGGTGCTGGTGCTGCAGGCGGAGGATTAGCCAAGTGAGCCGTGGCGCCAGCGGAAACCACAAGGATTGTTAAAAATATGTTTTGGAAAGAAGCTTAGGGTATATTAATATCTTAAATTCTAATGAACATTTTGGGGGATATATGAAATTTGGATTTGATATTAGTTGGAGAAAACAGAGAGCAGTAAGGAAGTTTTCTTGTTACATAACCTGAATTGAATTTTCATGTTGCTTTAGGAGTGTTCTTTGTTCTCAGAATGATTCAGCTTCTTTTCTACTGAAAATGTTTTCTATTGAAATTTCTGGGCATGACTTTATTTTTCCTATCCTAGAAAAACTAGTAATTATGTGAAGAAAATTTTAAGTACCATATATCCCAACTTCTAACATCATATTGATATATATATTTGTCCCAATTTTTATCAATATTGATATATGTGTACATATAGATATATATATTTACAAAACAAGATTTCATTGTATTTATTTCATTGTAACCAGTTATCTTTCCAGTGGCATAAAGCATGCTATTATTTCTCTTATTTTAAAACACTCTGTCTTGACCCCTCATCCTGTGAAAGACTCTGCTATGCCTTGCTTCAACAATTTATTTATTTATAGTACTTAGCAGTTTGCTTTAAAAAATTTAGAAGTGTTAATAACATAGTTGAGGCTGCCGCCCCAGCTCACTAGGCTAATCCTCCACTTGTGGCACCGGCACCCCAGGTTCTTGTCCCGGTTGGGGCACCAGATTCTGTCCTGGTTGCTCCTCTTCCAGTCTAGCTCTCTGCTGTGGCCCGGGAGTGCAGTGGAGGATGGCCCAAGTGCTTGGGCCCTGCACCCGCATGGGAGACCAGGAGGAAGCACCTGGCTCCTGGCTTCGGATCGGCGCAGCGCGTTGTCTGCAACGTGCCAGCTGTAGTGGCCACTTGGGGGGTGACCCAACAGAAAAAAAAGGAAGACCTTTCTCTCTGTCTCTCTCTCTCTCACTGTCTACTCTGCCTGTCAAAAAAAAAAAAAACCAT